CTGAGAGGCCCTGTGCAGTGCCCCTTCCCCTCCCCTCCAACGGCCCACCATTTGCTGCTTATCAGGTTGGGGCGAAGGCATGCGGCGAGGCTAGGCGCGACAGTTGGGACGTCAGAGCTCTCAAAGTTTCACCCTTGTGGCGAAGTGATCGCTGCTTCGGTGAGAGTGCGCAGACGAACTGGCTTAATCGCGCCGCCACGTGCCCCCTCCCAACTCGTTTAGCAGCGATAGTTCTCCTACTTCACGCATTTCGTTTTTTTTTCAGGGATCATATGCAATTTCCCGCACCCATGTACCAACAGAGTCGCGACCTGGCCATGTGGCTATTTTTGCTGGATTCACAGAGGATGTCAGTGCAGTTGCTCGTGGATGGAAGCATAATCCTGTGCCGTTTGATAGTATCTTCAACAGGTAACCAGTCAAGCTCAATATCATTTCCATTTTTTCTTGTTTTTTTTCCAGTAGTGCTGCTTTCACTTGAACGGGTGAAAGGTGCAGTGGCAGGGGATAGCGCTTACTTTGCAGTTTGGAGATCGATTCTCCTGATCGACCATAGTTCGAGCTAATTATTCACTCCATCCCTCGCCTTTCTGGCATCAAAGCTGCCTGAGGATGATGAAGAGGCGCTCACGTAGTTGCGGGAGAGGAAGAGGTCGAGGAGTTGCCCTAGAGATGGTCCCACAGGGAGAACATAGAGAGAAAACTCCACTAAGCTTGAACATTAAATAGGAAGAGGTATAAGGAGGAGCTGACGACTAATCCTCCCTCCCCCCACCTTCCCAGACTACGTTAGCTCCGATAGAAATACCGACCTGTCGATTGGCTGGCCCCAAAGGCGTTATCTAGACCGAATCACATAATCACATTCAGCGGGCAAATAGAAATCAATGGAAGTAAAACGCGAGGCGCATCCTTAGAAGCCTAAGATGATGCAAATTTGGGGATCTATAGGTGTTTAGCAGTATTATCGTACCCTCGTGTATGAATCTTCTAGGCGGAATGCGATCCTGTCCTGTACATTGATGCAACAGTAGCCACTGCGGCCCTGTT